CACACCGCGCACACAGACACACACTCTCCCCCCCCCACCGCGCACACACACACACACACACACACACACACACACACACAAACTCACACACACACATCTCATAGACTTCATTTGTTTTTCTGTCATGTTAATTATATCTTTTATAGCTGAGCTCTAGCTCTAAACACACCATCACAGACTTGTGCAAAACTTTAAATGCAAAAATGATTTAATTGATTTATAAGACTTTTTAACTAGTAAGGACCAGTAAACACTTTCACACTAGTATGATAATTTCACTATATAAGTGAGGACATGTGGTTCTCACAAGTATAGTTAAACCCCCACACACACACACACACACACACACACACACACACACACACTCTATTTATACTTCTGTTATTTCGGTTGACTGGCTTATTTTGCACTGTTTTCAGTTTTTGGTGATTTCACACATTCACCAGAAGCACCAGGGGTTTGTTTCCCGTACAGCGATGCAACTCACTGCTTAACCACCGTTGTAGAAACTAACTAGTCACAACTGTTTCCCGCATTGGTTCAACATTACAGGCCTGTCGTTAGTGACATGACACGCAGGCGCTGGAGTAATCACTTCTTATAATTAATCAATTGCTAACACACTATATCTGATTAATTTCTCCTAATAACGGAACATAATAGCAGCACTTTTCACTATTCTATGCACAGTAGCACATTATACACTGTGTGTTTCATATGTGTTTCACATGTGTTTCACATATTTCATATGTGATTTTAACATGTGAAGTTCATGTGCTTTTTCTGTAATTTGTGACCCTGGAGCACAAAACCAGGCATAAGTAGCAATAGCCAACAATACATTGTATGGGTCACAATTATAGATTTCTCTTTTATGCCAAAAATCATTAGGATATTAAGTAAAGATCATGTTCCATGAAGATAAGGGCATTTGAACTTTTCTTTTCTACTGCTTTTCATCTATGATAAGATCTCTTTAAGGTAGTGGAATGAAAATGAACTATTCTTAGAATTCGGCTGAATGTCACTGTGTCTGCGCCCCTCTATTTATGTCATATGCTGTAATAGACATTGCCTTGCAAAACGATTCCTGATTCTCAAAAGGAGGTTTGCGTGACAGTGATTTGAGGTGATCTCAGTAGTGTTCTCTAGTCTGTGTGTCATCATGAGTTTGATTCTCTCAAAAAGGGAGAACATGTGTTTGACTAAGGTTTGTAAAGGTTGTGTAAAGCACAACTTTAAAGATGATTTTCTCAATATTTAGATTTTTTTGCACCCTCAGATTCCAGATTTTCAAATAGTTGTATCTCGGCCAAATATTGTCCTATCCTAACAAACCATACATCAATGGAAAGCTTATTTATTCAGCTTTCAGATGATGCATAAATCTCAATTTCCAAAAATGACCCTTATGACTGGTTTTGTGCTCCAGGGTCACATGATTGTTTAGTGTACAGTAATTATACTCTATTGTTGTGTGTTCATATTCAGTTCAAACTTGAGGGCATTTGAACTTTTCTTTTCTACTGCTTTTCATCTATGATAAGATCTCTTTAAGGTAGTGGAATGAAAATGAACTATTCTTAGAATTCGGCTGAATGTCACTGTGTCTGCGCCCCTCTATTTATGTCATATGCTGTAATAGACATTGCCTTGCAAAACGATTCCTGATTCTCAAAAGGAGGTTTGCGTGACAGTGATTTGAGGTGATCTCAGTAGTGTTCTCTAGTCTGTGTGTCATCATGAGTTTGATTCTCTCAAAAAGGGAGAACATGTGTTTGACTAAGGTTTGTAAAGGTTGTGTAAAGCTGGTGTGTAGTTTTGAAGATGTGTTTATAGTTGTGAGAAAATTGTGAATTGTTGCATGAATTGTATGTTTGCAATCGTATACTGTAATTTACTGCTAATGCTATATATTACGGTATTGTGCCAAACAGCAGATCTTTGTAAGTCCACATGCATGTCATACTAATGAGAAACTCTGCTTCAAACCGCAGACTGAGAGCTGCAGTTCCAACCACACAACATTGCAATGCTGTTTGCAAATTGTTTAACTATTTTAGTAATGAGGAACTTGCAACCATAGATAGCTAATGATGATTTTGTTAAAAACAAAGTGAATCACAACATGATCTATGTGAGCTAAACCGTTCACCGTTCCGAAATGATTCACACACACACACACACACACACACACATGTAAAGTTCACACTCTTAAAAATAAAGTGTTCTGGTTTGTTGCTTCTCTTCACTATGATTGACAGGTGTCTCAGCTGACATATGGATCCTGTCAACACTCTTATGTTGTATGCCAGTCGTGGCTATCGGCATGGAAACAAAAGCTGCTTTCTGATTGGCCGTATCAGTCACGTGTGGCTCTGGAAGCATCTGATGCTGCTGTGCTTCAGAGTCTGCATTCGTTCATCAGTCATACAGCAGGAGGACGTCTGATCACAATGTGATTGAAAAAAGATACCTAGATGCCTCACAACCCAAACTTTTGTTTTAAAACCGTCCATTTTTAATGTCATTAATTTCTGTTGATAATGATACAATGTTTATAATGCAAATCTCAACATAGAAAACATTCCCTCAACATTCCTGCTGTGAAGATCAGCTTCATTTCTGATTCATTCAGGAACAAAACATTTTATGATTTTGTGAGGGATTGAATCACTAAACATTCAAAAAATATCTGTATGTAAAAACTTTGAAATCAAATTTTATTTAGAGTTTCATTGGTCTGTTTCCCTGTTGTTAAGTATATGTGGCATTCGACCATAATACAGTGTGAACTAAATATTTACATTTTCATTTATATTAGGCCTATTAATTTATTTTTTAGAAAAGTTGCATTTTGTCAGAACCTTTAATAAAATACATTAAAACAAAGTTATTTTATTTAACTCAACTCAACTCAACTCAACTCAACTAACAAAAATATGTTCTAAGAACATTATCTATTAACAACAAAACAAACAACATTTCAAAGTTCCATGAACATTACTGCTGCAAGCTTTTCTGCTAACATTAAAAAACATTCAGCAATAATAATAACATGATAAGAGCGTTCTGAGAACGTTATTCTAAAAACGTTTCCTCTCAACATTGGGAGAATGTATGTCAAATATTAATATTGCTATAAGAACGTTTTAAAAATGTTTTGTCCTAATTACATGAACTTTAAAAATGCTGGCGAAAGTTATGGGGACGTTCCTTGTTAGCTGGGTAAATAAATAAAAACACACTGGTGCAGCTCTGATCAGGTGGTTTAACCACAACTGGGGCACGAACTTTTCTATACCCCTCTGATTATATCATGGTAAATATTACAATAACATAGCACAACAACAGTGATCAGTAATCATGATAAGCCTAATACTCACAATAACATTGAGCGTATTAAACACGTATATATATACCGATTTCATCAGGCTCCGAAAATTCTTCAAAAAGAACACAAGGAATGGCCTTCTCAGCTGCCATAGCTGCAACTCTTGCGTCATCAGAACAGTGTGTTGAACGCACCACCGTTTCCGTTTAAAACACGTTTTGTCGGAGCTGAACGCAGCCCTGCCTAACGAACTGACGGATGTGGATTATATGTTAATGATGATTTAGTTTATTTGTATTAATCTAATGCAAGCTGTTGATTAACTAAAACACATTGGGGACAGTAATTGTTTTCTTTTTTTTTATATAAAATATGCTAATACAAAATATGCACAAATACAATTGGATAAATGATGGTCTTAAAAGTGTTTTGAAGGTTAAAGTAGATTTTAAGGTGTTTTACAGATAGAGGCAATGGGGTTAGGGTTATACTTTAAAACCTCGTAGCGCCTTTTAAATTAGGAAAACATGATTGCTTAAAGTTATAATTAAAATGTTAAAAAACAACAACTTTAAAATCATAGAACAGAACATTCCTCTGGTGAGTGTTGTTTGTGATGTGAGGCGCTAGAGGGCGCCAGAGGAACATCTGACACGCTTCCGGTCAAACTCACGTGATTCATCAACACTAGAAGAATTCTGTACACATGTAAGAGTTCTCAGTTAGGGTTAGGACTAAGACTTGTACAGTATTGACAAAGCATTGGCAATTATATGAACATTAAACAAA